TTTGTCACCGATTTCTTTCCTGATCATTAGTGCTTTTTGAAGGTATTCTTCAGCCTTGGTATATTGACCAACAGATCGAAACACAGTTCCTAGATTTCCGTAAGCAGATGCTTCTCCTTCTTTGTCACCGATTTCTTTCCTGATCACTAGTGCTTTTTGAAGGTATTCTTCAGCCTTGATATATTGACCAACAGATTTAAAGACAGTTCCTAGATTTCCGTAATCTGTTGCTTCTCCTTCTTTGTCACCGATTTCTTTCCTGATCACTAGTGCTTTTTGAAGGTATTCTTCAGCCTTGGTATATTGACCAACAGATTGAAACACAGTTCCTAGATTTCCGTAATCTGCTGCTTCTCCTTCTTTGTCACCGATTTCTTTTCTGATCACTAGTGCTTTTTGAAGGTATTCTTCAGCCTTGGTATATTGACCAACAGAAAGAAACACGGTTCCTAGATTTCCGTAACATGTTCCAACTCTGCGATTATTTCCGGTCTGAATCATGATGCTGAGTGCCTTCTCGTAAAACTGTTTTGCTTCCTCGTATTTGCTTGTTTTATAGTAGATGTTCGCTAGTTTCAGTAATGTCATCCCTTCTACTTCTATTTGGCCTCTATTGTGTAGTGTCACTAGAAGCGTTTTACCACATTCTATCGCACGGGTGTGATCGTACACACGAGTATAGCCATCAAGAAGTATAAGGTAAAATTTGATAACAAGTGGTGTGGTAAGTTCTTTGATTGTCTCTAGGGCTTTACCGTTAAGGAGCACCAAACATTCGTTAAAGATGTGTACTGCTTTTATAATACGTCCAGTGTTGAAAAGGAAAGTTGCAACGACTTGACCAAGATGAATGGTCTGTAGAATCTCCATGATGTTGTCCATGACGCTTATTTCTTAACCTTGAGAAAAAAAATGTTTTAAGAGTAAGAAAGTCTAACGTCTTTTTAACTGAACAGTTAAACTTCTTATGGAAGGTAATCAAGCTTTCATGTAAGATTTACCATAACATTCGCACGGGCAGTTTGCTTTTGGGGATAATGAGAAGAATAAGACGATTGTCATATTTGTCTTCATCTTTATCCTCAAGTGGTAAACTTCCCGTGCGAATGTGATTGCAACTCTAAAAAGCTTGAATAAATTACCAAATACAAGGGTTTTCATTGCAGCTGAAAAATGGATGGTTGGAAGTAATGGAGTTGGTGGCCTTATTTTTCTTCAAAACGGGAACCTGCGACGCTAAAAACTCTTGAGAGTTTTTCGTAGATGCTATATTTTGCTTTGTTAAGATTTGTTTCCAAATGAGAGGGACAAATACAAAGTAAGTTTGATGAATAGAAGTTCTTTAATATATACCGCGCACTCAACATAAAGTTGTTCTTCCTGTAGTGCTAACTTTGTTCGCCGTAGGTTTCTGATTACTCAGTTTCTTGCAAAAAAGCTTTGGGTAGGAATGTCCTTTCAGATAGGAGATAGTATGTCAGCACTCTTCTTCTATTTGTGCGTTAACTTTCACGAATGTGTTATCGTAGCATTTTAAGGTTAAATTTGACCAGCATTTTGTGCAGCGAGTTCTAAGATCACGGTTGCCTTCAAACTTGCAGATGTAAAACTGGAGAGCTCTGAGGCTTGTTTGCTGAAGTTAGGGAAAAATCTGTCGTAGGATTTAGAAGTTGTATACATGCGGTTTTAAATATATGCCGATATCTCAAAGGTTTTTAAACTCTACAAGAAAATAAACAACATTTTCTTAAATTTCCATTATTATTTATTAAGGATGCCAAAAATCATAGAAATCGGTTGAATCTTTTATCTGAAAAACGCAAATCAAGAACATAACCAGCACAGATATAAATAGGTTAGGGCCACGTGTTTTATCGGGTCTAAAATCGCTTGCCATCGGCTTGTGATTTTAAGCCCGATAAAATACTGGTGCTCGTTTATTAAACATTACTTAAAGCATTTTCGTCCATATTCACAAAGTCTCTTTAAAGATTTATTTCTTTCTGTTTAATGTAACACTCCTTTTTGGAAGTCTAAATTTCGGATTAGGATAAGGAAGACTCGTCCGACGAAAACAGGAACTTTGAGAATTTCGCACACAAGTTCATCTCAAAGTCTCATTGGCGAAAGGACAAATAAGCGGCGAGGCTTCGAGAACGCAAAGCGGCTTCTGCGGAAGCCTCAAATACAAACTTGAGAGAAATAGAGTACTAAGGAAAGTTACCGTATAAGGTTTGGTTACTTGGAATCCTAGAGCTTACAGTTATTCTTAATGTGACCAAGAGTTTTTGCTTTTGTTGGTATCTGTATAATTGAATTTGTGCGTGATCGAGTGTTGCGTTTCTCCTAATTTCTGTGTCAAAACAAGCACGATTGATGTTAGAGGGTCTACAATAGGTTTCCCGGGATACGGGATTTCCCTAGTTTGAAGCTCGGGATTCGGGATTTTACTGCAAAATCAGGGAGGGATTCGGGATTAAAAGTATGCGCGGGAGGTGGGATGCCAAAAAGAGCCCTCGGGATTACGGGATTGCTCGAAATCTTAGGTCGGTCTTCTCCAATACGGTCACCTCGATGTTCTTCAAGTTAAAGCGGAATCAGTAAGAGCGTTATCGAGATATTTTGGGATGAAGTTTTTATCGTTAGAAATACGGTACAACAGGAAAATCTCGATGTTTGGCCGTTATTTGTAGCAAACGAAGCACTTTTGACCATGCAATTTCACCTTATAGTGGTTTAAAAACGTGTGTGAAAGATCGTGGAGATAGCTCCGGCCAATTGCTAGAAAGAAGGATTTGATTAGTATGTATCGAGGCGCTCTTGTTAGTGGTTTTGTAAACAGTTCGGTCTACTTTAACAAATCAGCAAATAATTTTTAAACCGCTCGATAGATTTTTTTTTTTTTTGAAAAAAAATAAGATTCTTCTCGTAATATAAAATGAGAATTAGTCAGCCAGTTCTTCACTTTCAGACCCTGATGCTATCTGCCATACAGTGTTCTACGAGCGAAGATGGCCCTAAAAAGTTATGCAGAAGTTTATTCTAATCAATTCACGACCGGAAATAGCCCATTCCAGCTAGTGCAGTGCCGAACAACAAAAAAATGCAAATATGTAAATCAACATATGATACCCTTCCCTAATAACCAGAAGCTCATCATGTGCTAGGCAACCACTGTCTGGTGTGACTGTAACTGGAATATTACGCCGACTTCAGGCAGGTTAAAATTTAAAAAACATGAAAAATAATAAAATTAGAGTAAGAATGAAAAAAAAAACATGAAAAATAAAAAATATATATAATAATAATAATAGTAAATGAAAAACATGAAAACGTACTTAAAAACTGGCTTTGCCCAAATTTTCTATTGCTGCTCCAAAAAAATGGGGGGCTGCAGCCGGGAGGGAGTCGACTGTAAATCGTTCCCTAAAGTGATACGTGTACAATGCGACTAGATATTTATAGATGTCTTCTTTTCCCACGATATCGCATTTCAAAGCAGCTTCGCTGAAGTGTTAATGTTCATGAACAAACATAAATAAAAGGACGCTAAATTCATATTTTGGAAAGTTTTATTGGAATTTCGATACGTTTATCTTAACAAGCCGTTCGATTTTCACTTTATACCGCCTCGTGAAGTAGTCCACAGAAATACTTAATCAACTGTCAAGCATATGCGAACTTCAGGTCTCAAATCTGTGATTGGGAACGTTTAACGGTATTTTCTCAGCAGCTACCACAAGAGCCTTGGATCCTTGAAAATTCTTCAAGGGAGTTAACTGAATTTCTTCAGTTGTAATACCGAAGCAGCACAAGACTTTCGCGATGAAGGAGATATAAAAGAAGCAAAAAGTTTTGGTTGGATCAAAGAGCATGCGCTGTGAGGCCCAAATAGCCAGATTTTGGCTACTCCGGCGCTAATCTGAGATCAGGCCCAATTTGAGCGGTTCTCATACATTCTCTCTAACGGCTACCGCTAAAATTGGGCCTGATCCAAACTCATTCACGTTTGTGCTCGTTACGGCCAGATTTTGGCCGTAACGCTGATTGGCTGTTAGAACAAAGCCACAAGATCTGATTGGCTGTCGGAAACGCCGGAAGTTGAAAGTGCTTATTCCTCGCGTGGTTGTTTTCGTGAATGATCCGTCGTCGGCGGAGAGAAAAGGTCGATTTTGCTGTCTTTTTTATTGTTTTATGGTCTTATGGTAGGAAAATATGCCTTAATATGTGCCATGGAAATTCTGAAAATTCATATGGTTGTTCATATCTTCTCAGGATTTGCTTTATTTACGGAAAGTAAGTGTATCGCGGAGTTGAATCCCTCTGCAAGTTGTTGACGCGAACAAGGTGCCTTTTGATTTACCAACAAACTGTTGCAAATCAAAATACTGTCCATCTTAAAACTGGTTTCATTTGAAAGTTTAGCCGGGAATGACTTCTCTGAACGGGGTACGCAAGCGGAGGCTCACTGCGAAAGAAACCTCAATCGCCAACTCTGAAGTATTAGACGAAAAATATTGCATCGCTGTTCAAGGAATTTTCAGTGTTAACAGACTGGTTGTTTGCCTTCGCTTTTTGTAAAAAATAAACCAGGAAAACTGATGTCCTCGCTCGTTGGCTGTTTGCTTTTGTTTTTAAAGATTTATGTACTGAAAATCGGGGGAAATTGCCGAGCAAAATATTAAGGCAACGGAAAAATAGAAATTTAGAGCGGGCCTAGCCAAAAATAATAAAACTAGTAGAACATCGTGTCACCGTCTTTTCGAAAAAATTTACCTTCTACGCCAAAAGAAATAACCTTCGAGATCTCCCAAGAAGTTAAATGTGATTGTGCTGACTATTTTATTTTTAGCTGAAAAAATTAACAGATAAAAGTTTTTTTTTAAGTCAGCCAGTCTGCATTTTTCCCACACGTGAAAAATTTGCATACTAGAAAAACAAGCAACGGAAGTAATTTTGGTTGGCTGATTCGGCAAATGTCAATCAATCAAAAAAGTGGGCGGCAGACGTTTCGTAGAAGGTTTGTATCAGGCTCTCTTTTCGTTTCGCTATGCCCGCCGGAATGTTATTTACAAAGCGAAACGAAAATAGAGCCTGATCTCAGGTTACTCCGGCGCAGAGTTTCCCATAGCTTACGCGCGCGCGGCATTCCCAAACCCGTAAGCACTGGGGTCGAGAATGCCTGTAAAATGGATGAAATTAAAAGATTCACAATTATCAGTGAGAATAAATAACGGTTTTTGTATCTTCCGACACTTTAAGTTCAAAATATCGCTATGAAACCGTAAACCCAAACAAGGTTATATAAGAGACGTCAAACTAAAAAGGACAGTATCCCGTTACTGCGCATGCCCCAAACTTTGATTTTCGGACAGGGTGTCGCGAATTAAAAAGATGCGAGGAGAGTAGGAGAACCTTGAAAAATCCGTTTGCATCGCGCTTGGCCGAGGTCAGTACTACATTAAAACTTCTCAGGATTACAGATCAATGATATATTGTTCCCGTTAAGTTTCGATCTGGACGAAATCGGGATTTTTTGGCCTTACTTTTATTGCCGTTGGCCGCAGGACCAAAAGATGGGAAGCGTCTTGATGCCGATTGAGGGCTTATTTCTTCTGCCAGCTTCCATACAAGCTCAGATAATTGTGAAAGGAATACGCAGAAATGAAACAGCAACAATAAAGACTGTAAGAAAAAAACCATTGAGACATTGATGTGACTGAGGAGATCTTGTGAAACAAGAACCCATATAAAATGGGGGTAAATGGTCTGCTTGCTTGCGTGACAATTTGCTTCCCTGACATGACATGACAGGCCGAAAGAAGAGCTATTGGTCC